AAATTGGTACCTCTCCTTCTGTTGCGACTAGCTGGCCCAGACCTGTACCGTGCTGCCTCGGCCTAGGTTGATGGCATGTCGTTTTGAATCCGGCGCAGGCCTTGCAGTCCCCGTATTTGTCGGTGCCAAGCACCTTCAGGCTACAGACATCCGAGCAGGCGGATGGTGTGCGGCATTGCAGCACAGGTACCTGGGCGGGCCAGGTTACCACTGTTTTCAGAACCATGCCCTCGACAACATCTTCCGTCTCATCCTCCGCTCGCTCCCCACCCTTCTGATCCGAGACATGATGTTGCTGCTGAACTGCCGGCTGCTGGCTTGGCCTGCATCCGCCTTTGCTTCGCCGAAGTGCGAAGCGACGCACCTCTCATACTACGTACATACATACCTGCAGACCACCACCCACCTACCTACCTGTTTTATGAAGTACTCGCATGCACTGGAGCTGAGGGAAGGGAATCTCGTCGGCTGCCTCCTAGCCCTTCCCCACCACACCCCGCGACTTGCAAGTTACTGGCGGGGTGAGGCGAGCCCGTAGCGTATGACCAAGTACTGCACCGGTACCTGCAGCCAGCGTCACCCGCTGGCGAGAGCCTTTACCCTATTCCTGGCCTCGTTCCCGTACCTACGTAAAGGGCTACCTGGACAAAACCAGCATTTTAAACCCTCCTCGCCCTCTCTCCCAGTCCAGCCCGCCCAGATCTACTGAACTCATCGCCCGGTCTCGCCTCCTGCTACGGCCACCACTAACCTAATAAGCCGCTTTATAATATTCTCGTCGCCCTTGCGCCGAATTCCCTCAGGCCGTCCTAAAATTACCAACCAACCAGCCAGCCAGCCTTTGCAATATTTTCTCTCCTTCCTCTCTCTTCGCTTTCGATTCTCTTCTCTCCCCTACTCCGGCTCGCAGACCTGTCTTACCAATCACCGTCTCCGTGAGGCTCATCTCGTCGTTCCCCACCAACCCAGCAGAGGCGCACAGGACATCAGCGACACACGAAAAGGACCCAGAAAGGGCTGCCCTTGCTGCTGGGTTCCTCTCACTTTCACGATCTGGGCCAGGGAACCAACCCGACCCCTCCAGTGGGTTGCACCGGGACCGACCACCTGCTACTACCAGCACCCCCCTGCTGGCGTCTGGTCAATCTCCTTGTACGTACCAGCCCAGGTACCCTCCACAAACGGGGACTGTGCTACAGGGCTCAGCGACCCTCCTAAAACTTTGGCTTTTGCGCAGTCGTCACAGGGCTGCTCGTCACCCTAGTCCTAGTGCGCCACCCACTGTTCTTCGTCTGTGCTTTCGGTGCCCGGTCGCTCCCCCGCGACTTCAAAAACCCAGCCTGTGAGCGACTGGGAGTTCTCCAAGACTGCTGCTTCGCATAGAACACAGCACATTTGTACATCAAAACGTCTACCATCTTCTCAAGTCAGCGCCAGCCTTGCTGCGCTGAGCCGTGTCTGGCTCGCCGCTGACTGCGAATCTCTTTCCTTTCTTTCCCGGTTGAACGCCAATCTTCAAATTAGACACTGCCTTTCTTCGCATCGAGGGCACGCTCCTGTACAACCGACCGCATTGTCGACTCGACCCGACCTTTGTCATTTTATTCCTATAAATTATTCTTCGCCACCTCGCCACGTCCTCGATTCCCCCCCGAAATCAACTGAAGAGACAATTGTCTACTAAGGATAACACGAAAATGCCGACGACAACGCTGAGCGAAACCAACCGGCCTGCATCGACCCCGAGTTCGAAGCCTTCGTCTCTGAAATCCCATGATGGCGGCACGAAATCACCGGCCCTGGCCTCTGACGCAGGCTCCGCCCCCAATGGGCATACTCCCACACCAAACGGCGACTCGACGTTGAAGCCCCCGACAGCAGAGAAGACCTCCGTCAAGGATCGATTGACGCGCATGTTCTCTAGTAAAGACATGTCGAAACCTGGCAGTCCAGCCCCCAACGGCAGCGATTCTGCAAACCGGCCCCGAGGCTCCTCGTTCAACAACAACAATAGCATCACCAGTGGAACTGCCACGCCCATGTCCCGCAAGGAGTCTATCTCTGATCAGGGCAGTACCAAGGTCGTCCCCAAGCCAAAGGAGCCCACGCAGCGATTCATGTTGACTCCTGGTGCCCCTGGCGGCCACGAGCATCACCTCAAGTCAAGTCGCAGGCAGGAGAAGCTGTCCGATATGTGGCGCACCATCATTGGCAAGAAGCAGGATGCGCCTGATCACGACCTTTCCCTGGTCTCCAACTGGGTTGATGCTCTGCGCCAGGAAAAGGAAGAGGCCAATGACAAGAAAGGTGGCCCCAACGCCACTCCCACCCTGATCGAGAAGTACGGCAAGTGCCACGAAGTGGTTGGAAGGGGTGCCTTTGGAATTGTGAGGATATCTCACAAGAAGGTCGCTGGCGCGAGCGGCGAAAAACTCTTCGCCGTGAAGGAGTTCCGCCGGAGGCCCGAGGAGACGGAGAAGAAGTATAGCAAGCGGCTTACAGCCGAATTCTGCATCTCTTCTTCCCTCCGCCATCCCAACGTCATACATACTCTTGATCTTCTGAAGGACGCCAAGGGAGACTACTGCGAGGTCATGGAGTTCTGTGCCGGTGGAGATCTTTACACCCTGGTTCTATCGAGCGGAAAGCTTGATGTCCTAGAGGCCGACTGCTTCTTCAAGCAGATGATGCGGGGTGTTCAGTATCTCCACGAGATGGGAGTTGCCCATCGTGACCTGAAGCCCGAAAACCTTCTCCTCACAACCCATGGAGGCCTCAAAATCACCGATTTTGGCAACGGAGAGTGTTTCCGTATGGCATGGGAGACCGATGCACACATGGTGACGGGATTGTGTGGTTCCGCTCCCTACATCTCTCCTGAGGAGTATACAGACAAGGAGTTCGATGCACGAGCTGTCGACGTCTGGGCTTGTGGTGTAATTTATATGGCAATGCGCACCGGCCGACACCTGTGGCGAGTAGCTAAGAAAGATGACGACGAGTTCTACGCGCGATATCTCGAGGGCCGACGCGACGAAGAGGGCTATGGCCCAATTGAATCACTATCACGAGTATGTCTTTCCCCGCCCCGCACTTGATTTCTCGCTGTGAATTCGAAACTAACTATTTCCTGCAGGCTCGTTGCCGTAACGTCATTTATTCCGTCCTCGACCCTCACCCTACCAGACGCTTGACAGCTGCCCAAGTCCTTAAGTCTGAATGGGTTCGCGAGATCAACCTCTGCAAAGCCGGCGAGGAAGGCCTATAGCCTCCTTGGCCTCAAAAGCTGACAGCTGACCCCAATATAGTGGGTTATTGCTGTCAGCGCAACAGACCCTTTCATGACCCCTGTTCACCCCAGGCTGTGTAAACAGGTTGGTGAACTGGGGGATTGGGCTGTATATACAACCTTTGATACAGTGCTGCTAGACTTTCCTCTCCTCCTTCCCCTTTCCCTTTTATCTTTATATTTATTCCTGTCTTGTGAGAGAAGCAAGCGACGGGTTTTTGGGCTCTGTCTCTACAGGTTTTGTTCTATCTGGGTTCCAAGTATTCATCAGCGCGAAATCTCTTGGTTTGGGAAAAATGTCAATGGGGCGCTGTCAGGATGATTATTTGATGGGAGTCAACAGAAAGGTGGAGTCTTTTGTTTTTTCTTGTGTTTTCTTTATCAGGTTCTTTTCTCTTGCTTGGTGAAATCAAGTCTTCTGGGAACGGAGAGGGAGGAAGGGAAAGCCTCACATCCACATAAAGCGGGCCAACACATACAAATCCTCAATCGCAACAACGCACACACACACAACCCGCAACACCTCCCCCCCCCGGACGCGCAGGTTACGTAATTCAAGAACAATGGTCATATGACGCTTCAACACGGGCCAGTTGGACTGGCAAGACATCAGGGGGGTGGACAACTACATCGTGCGTTCCTCTGTCGATCAAGGAAGACGGAAGGGCGTCGAGACGACATAACGTATGTAATGAATATAAATATGCCAACGGTTTACACCGAGAGTCCCCTTTCCCTTGTAAAATAATCCTCGATGTTTATTTCTGTAGGCGGTTTGTTTCCCATCATTGCACATTAAAGACGATGTAGCTTCTTCGAAGCACACAGACACTTTAAAGGAGAGTGATGTGAAGACGAGAGTGCATTTCGTACAGCCGTTCATCTCTATTATACAGCGCCACCAGCTAAACTGACACTCCCCTCAACCTCCCTTGAAGAAGGGTCCAGTTCACACGAGTTGACATGATTCTACCACTGCTGCCGGCTCTTCCACTTGGCCCAAAGCCCAAGCCGGGATGACATCCGCTCTTCCTTTCCCTCTTACTACAGTATGGATGTGTATACTGACTTTGCGTACATGGAATTTGCGCGAAGGGATTGTTACGTATAAGCACAAGCATCTGCCACAGCTGATTAGGCCACTGGCATTTGCCTGAGAGTATATTGTAGCGAGGAGATGTGACGGAGCCAAGTTGGTAAACACAACTTCCCACCTAACAAAGTGCCTAGGTATAGTGCTAAGCCCGATTGCCACCCTTCGCGGTAAACATGAAACGCTCATCCAATACCCATTCCAAAAAGATCCCCCCTGCCTCTCAACTCGTCGTTCGTTATAAGATCAAATTATGACCTGTAGTGTTCGTTTTTACACCCAATGGTATTAAGTCCCGGTAGCAAAATGAGGAGAAAAAATTGACCTCGTCCCATAACCCGCCAAAATCCCTATGAAGGTTCCTGACCTGCCAGCCGATCCATTTGTGGCGACTGGCATCGTGGAATTAGAAAGAATATCGAAATTGGTCGGTATCGAAGAGAAATTAAGAAGAAAAAAGGAGAAGATGGGAGGGACAAGGCAAAACAAGTCCGCGCCGACCCTGTGTTGAGTATATCGTATAGGTAGTGCAAACGTATCAAGCCCGCTCCAAAAGAAGGGTGTAGACAAAAAAAAATCATGTGAGAAAGATTGATAAACAAGTTAATCGAGGAGATATCAGGAATGAAACAGGTCCCACGCTCTCTCGCACAACTTGAGGAATTCCTCCCTCTTTTGGCGTTGTGTTTCTGGAGAGTCTCGGCCGGCACCAAATGGACCTCTCCTCGCGGAGCTTGGTCCATAGCCGAGGGGTGGGCTGCCGCCCTCTTCGTACTCAGCCCTAGTCCGTCGTTTCGAAGCGCTTCGGCTGGCTTCAGCAATGCGACTGCCAGGCGCAGGTGAGGGAGGAGTTGGGGGTTGGTGTCCGCCGTAGTGCACCAACTTTGGCAGAAGTTCTGGTCGTCCGCCAGCCAGTTCGTGTTGAGCCTCCTCGGCAGATTTGTATTCCCGGGGACGCGAGGAGGGAGGACCGGGTGGTGGAGGAGGCCCAGGAGAGGCAGGGGGTGCGCGAGCGCTGTTGGGGTATAGAGATGCAGGAGTGTTATCGTGGTGTCCAGAGAGGCCCTGTCCGAATACATCACTGATTGGAGGCAGACGGTTGTCAGTCTGATTTGCGGGAATATGGTGAATATGCGAGGTGCTGGATAGAGCCGAAGGCTGGTTTGCTAGGTGTCGGCTGTAAGGGGTTGGGTTGTTGCGGCCAGTAAAACTCTGGCCGAGGGGAGCAGACTGAATCACCCTCTCGTTGGCGAACTGCTTGTGTGATGGAGCGACAATAGACAGGCCCGGGGGTGCCTTGTTCCTTCGCGACATGCCTGGTGTCTTAGCAGCGAAGCCGGAAGTATCTCTGTCCGCGGAGCTGTCGCCCTTTGAAGATTGCTGATGCAGCCGTGCCTCGATGATGTGGCGCTGCTGTTCTCGGACGGACATGCTTCGCTGGATATGGTCCTTCATGTGAGGGTCGTCGGTAACAAAGCCGGGCGACAGACAGTGAATGCCCATTTCTTGAATACCCAGGGGCTCGCGAGCAGTCATGGGTCGGGCAGAGGCGGGGTTTCCAGCGTTGCTGACATTCTTGTTCTTGGACAGGTCAAGCCTCGAAGGTCTCGGCCGTGAGATAGGCATGGAGGGAGAGCCGGGCTCTTTCTTGACAACGATTTTGGGAGGGCCATTGGGGAGGCGTGTGCTGCGTCTGCGGTGAGTTTCTGGACTGGAAGGATCTTCTCCCACAGGTGACTGGGGATTTCTTTTTTCTGCTTATACTTACGAAGTGTGAGGAGATGTGACAGTGAGGCCTGGTGCGTTCTTCGGGCTGCTGCTGCCAGTTCGCTGTGTGGGTGTGGCCGTCTTGGGTGCAGATGGGGAGACACTGCCGTGAGCTGCTGTGACGGCCGATGAAAGGGGCGCTACTACTGCTGGTAGTTTCGTCGGGGTAGGGGCGAGATCTGACGAGAGTGAGGGCCTCTCGTGGGGAGCCGGTGAGGGAGCCATCGCGATTGCGGTACTCATAGTGATGTTGTGGCCGCAAAAGGACGAGAAAAATCCCAAATCCAAGTGCCGTGAAAATGATCTGGAGAAGAAGGGAGGCGTTTCAAATCTTGGCCTCAGTGGTTGGAGGCAAAAGAGAAAGGTACGAGGCTGGACGCCGGCCGGCTTGGCACGCGCGACTTGGGCGTTAAAAAGGGTGACGGGTTTTTTTCGAGACGCTGCGCTAGCAGAGGGCCAATATCACGTCTGTCGGGGGTTAGGAATGCGCCTCCCGTCGTGGTAGAGGTACCAGCAAATGCTTGGCTGGCCGGCAGTTGAAAGAAGAATTCAAGCACGACAAAGGCGAGGGTCGACAATATACTACAATGCACGCTGTGTGCCGAGTATTGTGATCACGTAACAAGCGCCCGGATGGCTCTCCTATCCTATCGCAGTGGATAATATGCGATTTATGCTCGTATCCCGGAACGCAGCCCAAGGTTGGTCGCAGAGGTGATGCGCGCCTAGTAATAGTCGCGGAGTGAGGGGGTGTGTGGCGAATAAGTATTTCTTGCTGGATGTGGGCGTGATCGAGAACGGGAGAATCGCACACTGTGGTTGCCGTTGGGAGAGTGAAAGCCAACCACAACAAACAGCAACAAACGGCGGAAGAACGGCTGCTGGCGATGAGGATGGTGAGGAGGAGGAGAGGGAGAAGATGAAGGAAAGAGAAAAATTCGCAGCCCGTGTTGATGAGAAGTTCGAAACAAAGAAGCAGCAGGACGCCCAGCTAATGGAGGGCGGAAGCTCAATTAGGTATGTACCTACGGTGGTGGTCTGGCCCAGGAAAGAGCGGCGCAGGGGGGAGGGGGTACGCTAAGACTGAGGGACCTCGCAGTGGGCAGCAGCGATGGGCATTCGCAACTGGCATCAGGGGGCGGTTATGGGGAACAGACGTGATGGGAGGGATAAAAAGAGGGGCCGCTAGGACAGCTGGGAGAGGGGCAGCTGTTTCATTTCATGGGCTTTTTTTCCTTCCAATAGGTAGGTAGCCTCTGATGCGTCTGGGCCAAATCGTCTGCAATGTATGTACATCGTACTATGGAGCGTGTGTGGTGTGCAAGAGTCTATCTCGCAGCCAACCAATTGCCTGCCGACATGCCGCAATCCTCAGCGGCCAGGCCCTATTCGAACGTCGGGATGCAGCACGCAGCAACGACCATCCAGGCAATACTCAGGTAGCATATGTGGGTGGGCTCCGGGCTGGTGCTGCAGCTTCATTGCATTGTCGCAGCCATGGAGCGAACGAGAATGATGAAAGGGGCTTTTTGGGAACGTGACACGAGAGAGTTCCTGCTACCGCCGCCGCTGTGACCTCTGCCGTCGTCGCCATGCCCAGGTTGTGCCTGGAAGGGTGCAGAGCGATCCATTCGCGGGCTTCTGAAGCGATGGCTTCGTTCAGGGCCCCCCTAGTGTTGGGTTGGGACATCTAGCAGGACCACGCGAGAGCAGAGCCCGCCTCTCTCTGCTTTCTCTAACAGGACAATCGGTGGGTGGAGGGGAGAGAGGGGTGGCGTTTGTGAGACAGGGGGGCCGGAGATGGGGGTGTCCCAATCGCCCAGATCACCAAGCACAGTGCTGTTACATGCCCTATTGAGCCCCTGCCACTGTACTGCGCCGTACTGATGGATGTGCTACAGCCTCCGACGTCCTTCCTCGGGACATCCATCACGCATCTGGCTGCTCCTTCTTTTCTACTGCCTTGATCCATGATTCCATGGGGAAATGAAAACGAGCGATGCATCCAATATTCCAATTACATGCTTATCTCATCGCATCTCTTATACGACCTGATATTCACTAGTGCCTACCTGTTTCCGTCCGTATTGCCTTCCTGCAGCTGTGTGTAGCATTTCACCAGCTTCACCGGAGCGGCCACTCACACTACTGCACCCCACGGAGCTGAAGGTAGGAGCTGAAGGTAGAGAGCATCATTGCCGGACAGAAGGGGCAACAGAGACGACGAGGACACACTGTAGGATGAGTAGTCGTCTCGAGAGAGGGGTCGGAACCAGGAGGCACCACTCTTTGGCCAATATCTCCATGCATCGATTACGATTGCTAGTACCTTGACCTGAAGGTGATGTACATCATAGACAGGCGGCAGCCCACTATAATCCAGGGTATCAGAGGCGTTGCTCACGGAAGGTTCCTTTAATTTTTTGTCACTCTCTCCAACCACCGGTGTCGTGGAATGTTTTACATGGACCCAGTGACGCATAAGCCTAATCATCATCCTCGCTTTGTAACGTGGAATCTGATTCACCCAGGGTTTGCGATGAACACTCGGTTGTTTGCAACAGAACAGGCGGCTGCAAATGCAGTCCCAACCTGGCCGGGACACAATCGTGGTACGGGTTCTGCTGTGTCTGTACCGGGCGAGTTGCGGCACGGCTTGTTGATTGATTTGCCCAGGTTAGGCAACTAATTAATATCTGGGGATCTGCAAACGGCGCGGCCGCCTCACCCAGTTAGCGATCAGACCCTGGATTTCCGATGAAACGTACTTGCCAAAGCCACCAAACTTGGGATGCTTCAAGACGAACTAGCTGGTCTTGCTCTCATACATGCCATGCCATGCGATCGGCTCAAAAAGCACGCAAAAGCTTACCTCCCGGTTCCGTGCACAGGAACGTGGGCTTATCCCCCTCTCCCTTCATTTTCCATTTTCAATTTTTTTTTTTTTTTTGCTTTTCCCCCCCTCTTGATCTGTGATCTGCAGGCCAAGCGTACAACATGGCAATATTCTGTTGTGAGGTCACCTAACATTGGCTCTCGCGGGACATTTGATGCGAGCGAACCACTTTATTTTAATTAATTAGCTGTGTACACGTAGGACGATGATCTACCATTGATGAATCTCGTCTGCTTGCTGATCTGATATATTGGAACCTCATCTTAACATTGAGGAGAGACCCCCCTCGCCGAGCTGCTGCACCTGATACGGACTTCGCTTGAAGATTGGATTTTGATGGTACACGGCATGATGGATGGGGCATGAACTCAGCGGAATACGAGATGCTCCAATCACCCAAGAGCGGGCAATCTCCTTGGTGTGACTTAACGGTGGTAGACCTGAATCCTCACACACATCCATACACTCACCTGTCTCGGACCACACAGAGAGTGTTGCATGGCTCACATCAAGGACATCCTCTAATATAACACAACCCCGAATGCCACAGTGACGCACTATACTCCGTCGGGGTTTTGCATCTTGGCTGTTGTTTGCGATCTTCCAAATATTTCCCTACAGTACAAGGCCATATTATGGTACTTTGCCTCCATAATGTTTCTACATAGAAACGAGGGTGGATTGGGGCCGGTAAGCTGACACGTCGGACGCTCCGAGAATGGTAATCGAAGCAGGCCTGGCTACTGCCCATCGCTCAGGATGGAAATCATCGTATACTTGGTCTCTCAACGGGGTAGGTACTGCTGCCCCGCGGATGGGCCTTGCTGTACATGTGTAAGTCGAGCTTGGGGTACTACCGCGCCCAACTCCCAGCATGCATATATCATATCATACTGTACAGCACATACGGAGGCCGCAGGTGAGGTCCGCCATGTCAATCATTCTCCTAATGGCTGTGTCAGTTCGGCTAACGAGGAGCTTGGAAGCAATAATGGCCCTATCCGTGGTGGCGAATCACCACTTGCTACGTGCTAGTACCCCTGACCATTACGACCTCGGCCAGTTTTCTGTGCCATCCAGCCCTAACGAAGTGCCTGCCACTCTCCTCCAAAGAGCGATCTGGTCGAGATTCATTGGAGAGGCGGAAAGCCAGGGAAGATTGACCGACATGGACCCAGTCTCCGGCACACGCACACTCACTCGCACTGCACTGAGGCACACACAGTACGCAGAAACCTCCAACACAAGTGATGCCTCCCCCTAACTATCTCCACACCACAAGAAGCACGCGCTGGCGCCCTCACCTGAGACGTCGTCTCAGGTTGTTGCAGGGATAGTGGGCCCAGGTCTCTGCGAATCGGGCCATCCTCACTCCTGACTGGCCAGCTTTCCCGCCCCTCCTCCCCCCAAACCCAATGGTCAATTTGGAGAGCTGGAGAACCAGATCTCGCTTCGTACCCAACCATTTGGGGCTCGTCGAACCAGCAATTCGTCAGCCAGTAGCTGGACTGACATGTCGCCCTGTGCCAATCACTTGACTCGGGAAAACCGGGGCCCTCCAATAGTCTCGATTCACCTGGTCTCAGGTTCCACAGCCGGACTGTAGCTCCAGACAACCTACGCCAGTTCACATGCTAGACGGCACTTATGATGGTGCAGTGGCAGCGAGAGGCATGATCTCTGCATATTCAGACCGAGCTGATTGTTGAGTACCTCCCGGCTCTAGTTGCCCAACGCGCGAACAGGATGACTTGCCATCATGATACGATGCCACACAACCGCTGGCAGCCGCTAGTTCAGATAGGGCCAAGCGGTCCTCAGGTAAAACATGGGTGCTTCCATCTCCAACATTGGAAGCGGTAGTCGCCGCTTCTATGCGAGCTTGTTGCAACTACCAGAGAGGAAGCTCCCTTGGGCGGACTCGGCCGGACAGCCATGCATATTCAAGCCTCCTCACCCTCACGCCCCCCGGTCTCCCTGGAAAACTGCCCGCATGTGGTGGTCACTTTATCCGAACGGACGGAGATAGGGGAGAGATGAGAGACCTGGCCACCCCTGCCGGCCGAGCCTGTCTTTCGGCGGAATAAACCTGATTGAGAAACGAAAGAATGAAGAAGATTAATAAACAGCACCTTTACCCCTCATCTGCATCAGGTATCAGGTATCAGGTATCAGGTGTGCGTTCAACTATCGAGGTCGCATGCCACTACCGTGAATTGGATTCTTGGTCCGACCCCAGCCGCAGCTCGGTTCCGAAACGACTGGCCACCTGCCCTTCGGAGGATATGCAGTCTATCTTGGCGAGCTGTTCAACAGGTCGCCGGTGGTCCAACACTCACCGTTCGCACATTTGCATTCAGGGTTTGGATGGGAGCGGGGGTGCAAAAGGCCCTCCTGCAAGGATACTCGTCGACCAAGCGGATTTCAGTAGGGCTGCAACTGGGTGTAAATTGTGCGCGGATAAGTGCCAATCAGGTGCTCGATGCCATTACCATGTTTGTGGGCCGCTGGCTCAGCCTTATGAGATTCTTATAACTGAATTTACCCTATCTAGTGAGTTAAACCCGACTACTATCTAGGAATTTATGAGGGCATCCCGGTAAGCCAGAGTGGCTCTGGGCTCATTCTGTGGCTTCTTCTAAGCCGCCTCTCTGTATTAATTTGCCGAAACGTTGATAACATTAATGCTTTGGCCTCCTTCCTGGGCTTTGATTGCGGATGGCTTCCTACGGCACCTTTCTATGCCTTCGACCTGGGACAACGATGAGTGCGATTCGGCTTCAGCTTCAGCTTCAGCTTCTTACGATGGCGAGGGACCACCTGCACTGCATCTTTGGTCTCCTCTGTATCTTTCTCATTATCCATCACGTCCCCTTGTAATGATTCGCGGACAATATGGCATTCAGCCTTTGGCCGCACAGCACCATGATTGCTGAAGGCTCGCACGATATCTGGATGGGTTTCATCGAGTGCTAGGGACATGGCAGACTCGCCGTCTACTGCCTCAATGTCTGCCCCATGTTTCAATAAGACCTGGATAGTCTCGAACTCGAGCTCTGTGGCAGCATAAGCTAATGGCGTCTTGTGGGGGCAGTCTTCGTTGTCGATTTCCGCTATGTTGCTAATCAACAGTTCAGCCAGATCGTAATGCCCTCTTCTAGATACCTGCGATAGAGGCGATCTCCCTTGAATATCTGAAGAATGGGGACTGGCGCCGCATTCGATCAGTTCTACAGCAATATGCACATGATTGCCTAGGATGGCATAAAGTAAGGGGGATCTCTGTTCCTCGTCTTGGGAATTGACATTTGTCCCCCTCTCAATGAGAAGCCGTACGATTGATTCATATCCAGCTTCGGAAGCATAACAAAGCGGTGACTTCGCTCCATCTGGGGACGGGTCCAGCTGTGCGCCTTGATCAATCAGGATTCGGATAATATCCTCATGGCCTTTCCTGCAGCGAAAGAGAGCGGAGTTTGAAACTTGTCGTTGAGCCAACTCATATCTGCGCCGTGTTGAAGAAGCGGTTTGGTGATGCTCTCCAACCCGTAGGCAGCCACGTAGGATAGAGCCGACGTGAAATTCGCGTAATGAGTCAAGGAAGGACCAGGTCTGAAACACCTCTCCGGGAGAAGCTTTGACAATGGGATGCTGCCATGTTCACACCCCTACCAGCAAGAAAGCCGTCGGAGTTTCCTCCTCTTCTTCCCCCTCGTGAGGTCGGATACTACAACGAAGTAATAGTATCCTTACTGCCATTTCGTTGCCTCCTTGTATTGCTTCGAAAATGGCCTTGCGGCCGTCTTTGCGCCGCAGCCAAGATCCAATGCTACTAAAAGTAAACAGATACCAGACCGACTGAACAAGACCCTTTAGGGACGCAGTCGTCAAAGTAATTGCATGGTCCAAGCGTGAGCCGTACTCACTGTGACTATCCTCAATAGAAGCCTTGTTGGATCTGCGAGCATTCGATCCTCGTGCACGTGGCCTTTGGATGCACATTTTCCTCACTGACTCTAGAGTCTGGAGCTGTATGTTCCTGCCAACCTCCACGAGTATTGAACTTCTTATTCTTTGGAGTCACTCTATCATCAGGTCGAGATCTTTGACATAAAAGCAATAGATCCATCCTCCTTGCTCTGGTACCGACAGTTCAGGACCGCCGAATCCAACGCCCGTTTCTTCCCGTACTCCCAGAAATCGTACCTCTAGGTGGATGCCACTGCTGCATATATACGAACCAGCGTGAGCTTCGTCATCGGGCTGATATGAAACAATGTGGCTAGAATATTTGAATGCATCTGGCTACCTGGCTAAGAGACTGCCATGATTGTCCCGACATGACCACGCAAAGAGACTGTGGTCGTCAGATACTCTCATTATCTCTTGCTGAAGTCTTATGAAGGCATTTTCTCCTTCGCCAAAGATCACGGGCATGTAGATTCCAAAGATGCCGAGAAGCAAGTAGGTGCGATCCGAGACCCTCGTTGTTGTCCGCGATGCTGCCTAGGACATCTTTTGGGCGGCACCATACTCAGAGAGACCCACGCCCGTGTTTTCGCACAGAAGTTCCTGGGGGAGTCCTGTATGATACGACAATACCTTGGGCAGTTACCTACTCTTTGTTGCCCAGCTTTCTTTAGTTCTGACCTAGGAATATGGCGATTGAAGGCGCAATGATTTCTTGAAGTGAAGAGTCTACCCCTTCGTAAACCATTTAATTACTGTTATTTCCCTCTGTGATGACACGTCGCCTGGATACGCATAGCATACCTTGGCTTCTTGATACCAAGTGTACAATGAGTTGATGGCCTCCGACACCTCGGCACTACTCGTTTTGTCGATGCAGCAGGTGTCGATCCAGACATATTTGAAAATATCCGAGAGGGCCTTTTTGCAACAATCTCGGACTTTTTTGTATCCTTTCTTGAGTTTTGTCCAGGATCTCTGGATATCTTGTAGGGTTACCTCCTCTTGGTCCCAGACATGGGATAAGATGGCGTATTCTAGTCTATCGCCACGAGGAACTTCAGTGAGAGTGATGGACCTTATGTCGAGGAGACGCATGCTGTACGGATATGAAATCAGCCACTGTTGAGAGCATACACTTATATCTAAAGTCGCCCGCGTAGGAAGGGCATCCGGATGCAAATGCTCGCAGGTAATCCGTGATTTTAATACGAGCAACAGAGACGGAGGATGAAGCATCAGTCACTTCGAGTTGCTCCAATTGGGTTGAGGAACAAGCTGCCAGCATCGGGATATGGCTATGGCAAGGCATACTTACAATGCCCTGGGGATATATGCACAACGAAACTTACAAGTACTTCTTTCTATATCCACCTTAGCACTTAATAAGCGCTAGGTTTAGGAAGGAAAACCCCTCCTTCAAATCAAATCCTTTTCTCTCTCTCAATTAGTTTGACCGAATGATTAAGAACATTGGAAAGTCTTTCCTTCTTTCATTGTTGGTTGAAGAGAAGTCGTCCAATGCATGTATGTTGGGTGGATCAATATAGTGGCTGGTGGGGCTGTGCGCCACATGTCCCACGCCACACTAGGCTCAAAATTTCTGAGCGCCCCAATCAAGAACTTCAATGAAATTCATCAACTTGGATGAAGATCGCACAACAAGCCAGTGAAAGAAGAAATTGACGCTTTTCAAATCTTAATTGTTTTTAAATCCCCCACACTGTAAGATTACAGCATCAATGCCTGGCCGAACCAAGAAAGACGAGCCAACCGCTCAAGATACAAGCATGGAGGACGCCCCGCCTTCAGCACAGCCAGAGGCGGAAGAAGTAGATAACGAGGACCAGGAGGAAGCTCAAGAGGAAGAGGAGATCGAGCCCCAGCGAGTCCGAATTGTGAGACCCATCTGCTCTATCTCGACAATCCTGTCCTTCTCGCTAACTTGATATGCAAGCTCCCGGGATCTACAGACACTGCTGCCTCATTTGAGTTCGTCGATGAGGGACACACAGTCGGCAATGCGCTGAGATACATCATCATGAAGAAGTAAGATTTATTTTTGGCCCCTACGAGAGATCCTATAAGACGAAGTGCAGAGCAACCTAACTCATCGTGACAGCCCCGATGTCGAGTTTTGCGCATACTCCATCCCTCACCCCTCTGAGCCTAAGATGAATCTGCGAATACAGACCTACGGTTGGTGCCCTCCACTGATGAACTGACCTTGCAAAACCAGCGCTAACCAGTTGATCAGACGGCCTTGCCGTGGATGCATTGAAGAAGGGCCTGGCTGACTTACAGGACATCTGCGACGTTGTCACCGATGAGTTCACCACGAAGAAAGATCAGTTCAATGCAGAGCATGGGATTGCTCGGTAGGTGAACTGGGTACTTGGGGTACAATTCGCTGGATTAGACATGTGTTTCATCACCAATTAGACATAAAAGTTCTCTGGGCGTTATGGAAATAGTATCTTTGTTTTTTTTTCGCATACGGCCTGGCCTGTAGTTATATGTACAAATGAACAGCGCGCGTTGCCTCTAGTTGCGGCCCTGAACAAACAATCCTCACGTTAGCATCCGAGTTCTCGGCTTGGTTATGCGCAACAACCTACCTCTAGGAATCCAGACATGAAGCTGGATGGTAGTCTCTTGTCCCCCCTGAAGTTCTCGTCCTTGAAGTATGACATGACGTGGGTAGTCTGCTTCCAGAAGTTCATCATTTCCTGCCCAGCCCTGTGTTAGCAGACGCGCGCCACAGCTGTAATAACAAGCCCAAAATCCGTACCTGGTACTCGGCATGCGACTTGAAGATGAGGACATCGGCGACTCGGAGCTTGTCAACGTATCGCTGGCGCTCGAATTCCTCTCGTATCCGGGTGCGAATGGTCGAGATGGGCATCGGAAGGTTGTACATGGTCTGCATCTCGGGGACCTGGCAACTGTGTCAGTCGGATGGTCTTTGGCGTGCCCTTCAGGGACAATCGGTATTCAGCTGGGTATGGTAGCCGTTGGCAATCCAATTGTTGGGATAGAGGCTATGAGGGCAACATACAGCTCGAATCCATTCCCGGTAGGAAGCCAGCACTCGGCGCTTGGCCTCGCCCCAGTTGGCGGCTGTAAAGGTAAGAGTTAGCGTTCCATTTGGCAATATCGGTGATTGATCTTACACTGGGTCGTCTTCTTGGCGAATTGAGTTGGGGTGATAGCCATGGCGAGCGAACGATGCTGTGCAATGCTGGTGAACTACTCCCTCAAAGCTGCTCTGACGTTGAGCAATGAGTGCAGGCCTAATGGTAATCGGCTCAATGCTCCAGCAAATCACGTGCCTGCACGGGGACCGAAGCCGCGCCACAAGTTGCTGCGTGCGCCACATTTCGGGACCCCCCTCCATCCCAGCTAGCCAGGTCCAGGCGACCATGTTTTAGATCTTCGCCTTATTTTAGTAAGGCGAAGCAGCAATACAATACCAACGCGGAAGGCCTTAGAATTTCTACGACTTTGCAACATAATCAAACATCAGCCAACGCCACCACGATGCCCGCGATCCGCCATGCTTCGAAGAGAAAGCCCCCGCCAGAGGGCTTCAGCGATCTTGAAGATGACCTTCTCATCTTCGCTAACAAGATGAAGGATGCCCAGAACAAGCCTTCAACAGGACCCAAGCACCAAGCACAATGGGAGGTCTTCCAGATTTCCCATCAGCGCAGCCGTTACGTCTATGAGCTATATTACGAGAAGGAGGCGATCAGCAAGCAACTTTACGATTGGCTATTGAAGAATGGGTATGCCGATGCGATGCTCATCGCCAAGTGGAAGAAACAGGGCTATGAAAAGGTTCGTACCAGTTCTTCTGAGGAGTTCATTTCTCTCAATATAATGAAGATGACTTTTTGCTAACCATTTCTTAAGCTATGCTGTCTCCGCTGTGTCCAAACGAAAGAGACGAACTTCAACAGCACCTGCATTTGCCGAGTTCCTCGAGCCCAGATGAAGGAGGACCGCGATGTCCAGTGTGTTAGCTGCGGCTGCCGAGGGTGCGCATCGACTGACTGAGCAGCTCTATCGCCACACGGGTTTGGAAGTTGCTTGGGAGAAAGTACACTCGCATATTAGGGTCGACAGCGAAGGCGTTCCGGAATGTTTCTGACGGGTTCTTTACAGCCTGCATTCACAAAGCAGCATCATGTTGTATTTGGTAACTTGGTCATGCTGTGAGGTAGAGCAATCCTTTTGTCATTTTTGCAAGTATAGGGTTTAGTGCATAATAACTGATTCTTTGGGTCATAGCCAATCGTTTCGCATTCCCTTCGTGATATCTTACTCTCAAGTCTTCGAGAATCCTGCTCGCCCACGCCCGAAACGAATGCTGGGAGGCACGAACTGTAGTGATGACATGGCGTCTGCGAGATCTGTCATCTCCTTGTCGCCTTTCTCGGGTGCTGCTTGCTTCGATGCCTTGTTTTCGGTTGATGGCTTCTTGGGAGTCTTATCGGTCTGCGTGTCGACCTGCCCCTTTAAGCTGTCCCGGCGCCGGGGCTCCTTCGATTGCGTCGTTGCTGTGGATGATCGTCTTCTGTGGTGGCCATGCTCTGTGAGCAGTGATCGTCTACCGTCGATGCCGTCTTTAGTAATGGCGAAGAAGAAATTCTTGGGATACATGTGCTTGTCAATCATGTGCATGCGCCGCTTCTGATGGGTCATGCACTTCCTCTCGCAACCCTCAACAAAACAGGAATACTACTGCACAGTCAGCAAACCAGGAGAAAAAGGGGGGCTAGGTTTGGGGATCAGTTATTGGCACGGAGGGCAACTTACAGTATGTTCACCATTGTCTCTCTTGATGACGACGAGCGGGTCATGAAATTCCTCGATATGGAGTCCGAGAAGGTGCTGCGAAGGGAAATTCCTCCGGCATTCTAGGCATCGGTTTGTGTGGAACTTGCTGTAATGGGTTTCATAGTCGCCATACGTCGTGAACTTGAGAGGTTCCTTGTGGGGGGGTAAGGAGCATCGCATGGCTACCGAGT